AACATATGGACTTCGCAGCAACTTGGGTGGATTTGGAGTCGATCATACTCAGTGATCTATCACAGAAACAAACAGAGAACAGAGTACCATATGTTCTCACTCATAAGCGGACCTTGAGCAATGATAATACTGTAAGAAAGGGATTGGCAGTTGTGGGAAACTGTCGGGGGGGTGGGATTGGCAGTGGAGGGAAACTGCTAGGGGAGGGAGGGGCACACCTCATCAACAGGGGTACCTGCATGATCAACACTTGTATACCTAACCCTGAACTGTACCCCACATCTTGATATTAAAAATTAAAAAAAAGTTTGCCAAGAAGGTCACGTGCCCAAGGACGCGCGGCTGGCCCTGGCTTCTCACTGTGTAAGTGCCCCAGGGATGGAGACCCACAGGAGAGTTTTTTATGGGGGTAAGCCAACCAGTCACCCGCAGAAAGAAACAAGGACCTTCAGCAGTGCTTGTGGTAAAGGCGGAGAGGAACACTCCCTTCGCCCCCCTGACTGATTGATGGGTTGATTGAGTCAAAGTCTTGCTCTGTCACCCAGGCTGGAGTGCAGTGGTGCGATCATGGCTCACTGTAGCCTCCAATTCCTGGGCTCGTGATCCTCTTTGCCTTAGCCTCCCAAGTAGCTGGGGTTACAGGCGTGCACCACCACAGGGGGGCTGGTTTCTAATATTTTGTAGAGACGAGACGAGGACTCACGATGTTCCCAGGCTGGTCTCGAACCCCCAGGCTCAAGTAATCCTCCTGCTTCGACTTGCCAAAGTGCTGGGATTATGGAATGAGCCGCTGTGCCTGGCCTATTTTTTTTTCTTTTTCTCTTTTTTAAGGTGGAGTCTGACTCTGTCACCCCGCTTGAAGTGCAGTGGTGAGGTCTCGCTATGTTGTCCAGGCTGGTCTTCAGCTCCTGGGCTCAAGCAGTCCTCCTGCCTCAACCTCCCAAGTTGCTGGGGTTACAGGTGAGTGCCACCACGTCCAGCTAATTTTTAATTTTTTTGTAGAGATGAGGTCTTGCTATGTTGCCTGGGCAGAGCTTGAGCTCCTGGCCTCAAGCAATCCTCCCTCAGCCTCCCAAAGTGCTGGGATTACAGGTGTGAACCACCATGCCCTGTTGCCTCTCTTTTATTTTTTAAAATTTGTTATTTTTTTTTTTTGAGTTGGAGTCTCACTCTGTCGCCCAGACTGGAGTGCAGTGGCCGCTCCCGGCCACCGCAGCCTCGACCTGCTGGGCTCTGGCGATCTCTCCGCCTCAGCCTTCCATGTAGCTGGAACTACAGGCGCGCTACCACGCCCAGCTAATTTTTGATTTATTGTAGAGATGAGGTCTCGCCAAGTTGCCCAGGCGGGTCTCGAACCCGCGGGCTCAGGCAATCCACTCACCTCAGCCTCCCAAAGGCGCGGGATTACAGGCTGAGCCACCAAGCCCGGCTGCCTCTTTTACAAACATACTTTTTTTTTGCAGTTGGCATCTCACTTTGTCACCCAGGCTGGAGTGCAGTGGCATGCTCATGGCCACCACAGCCTCGACCTGCTGGGCTTAAGGGATCCTTCCACCTCAGCCTTCCAAGTCCCTGGAACTACAGGTGCACACCACTATGCCCGGCTCATTTTTTGATTTATTGTAGAGATGAGGTCTTGTCATGCTGCCCAGGCTGGTCTCGAACCTCTGAGGTCAGGCAATCTCCTTGCCTCGGCCTCCCAAAGTGCTGGGATTACAGGCTTGAGCCACGGCACCCGGCTTTATTATTTTTTAAACTAACGATGTTCTTCAACTTAATTTTTGTTTTTGAGTCAGAGTCTCACTCTGTCGCCCAGGCTGGAGTGCAGTGCCACGCTCACGGCCACCACAGCCCCCACCTGCTGGGCTCGGATGATCCTTCCGCCTCAGCCTTCCAAGTAGCTGGAAATACAGGCACGCGCCACCACGCCCGGCTCATTTTTTTGAATTATCACAGAGAGGAGGTCTCGCCAAGTTGCCCAGGCTGGTCTCGAATCCCTGAGCTCAGGCAATCCTCTCGCCTCCACCTCCCAAAGTGCTGGGATGACAGGCGTGAGCCACCGCCTCGGCTAAAAACATACGTGCTGGGGGTGAAAAGATCATTGCTTCTTTATTTTTATTTTATTTAATTAATTTATTTTTTTGAGTCGGCCCAGACTGGAGTGCAGCGGCCCCTCCCAGCCACCGCAGCCTCGACCTGCTGGGCTCCAGCGATCCTTCCGCCTCAGCCTTCTGAGTAGCCGGAACTACTGGCGTGCGCTACCACGCCCGGCTGATTTTTTGATTTATTGTAGAGATGAGGTCTCGCTGCCCAGGCGGGTCTTGAACCCGCGGGCTCAGGCAATCCCCTCACCTCAGCCTCCCAAAGGCGCGGGATGACAGGCTGAGCCGCCGAGCCCGGCTAATCATTGCTTCTTTAAACAGAAGTTCCAGCGGTAAAGGACTGTAGAGAGCTGCTGTCCACCTCACCCCGGGTGTAGACGTTGCTCAAACCTGGTGGGTTCAGGGCCAAACTCGGTGGCCGCATCCCTCTGGCCACACGGGGGAGCCAGAGCCTGCCCGGTGAGCTGGCCTGGGTGGGAGCCCAACAGTGGGATTGTCACCGTGCCCCGGGGAGCAGGGACCCTTTCTTTCCCCTGGGGTCGAAATGAGTTTCTACAACCTGCAACAGAATTTGTTTGCTTGAATTGGGGTCTTACTCAGCTGCCCCGGCTGGAATGCAGTGCCACAATCACGGCTCACCCCAAGCATGTATTTCACCCCAAGCATGTATGTTTCTGGCCGGGGGCAGTGGCTCACACCTATCACCCCAGCATTTTGGGAGGCCGAGGCGAGAGGATTGCCTGAGTTCAGGGGTTCGAGACCAGCCTGGGCAGTTTGGTGAGACCTCGTCTCTACGGTAGATTGAAAAATGAGCCGGGTGTGGTGGCGCATGCCTGTAAATTCCAGGTGCTTGGAAGGCTGAGACACCTCCTGGGCTCCGGCGATCCTTCTGCCTCAGTCTCCCAAGGAGCCCGGACTACAGGCACGTGACACCAGGCCCAGCTAGTTTTTTGCTCTTTTTTTTACAGAAACAAGGTCTTGCTGTGTTGTCCAGGCTTGTCTCGAAATCCTGGGCTCCAGGGATCCTCCTGTCTCAGCCTCCCAAAGTGCTGAGACTGCAGGCGCGAGTCACCGTGTCTGGCGTAAAGAGTTATGTGAGATCTAACATCCTCCTGGTGTTCCAGAAATTTCTCCTCTGGTCACACAACGATCAAACAAAATAATCAAGAGAGACCACCATCCACATTAAAGCTTGCTGGAGCAGTAAACCTGCTAAACAGATGTCGGGTTATGATTTTTTACTTAAACTAAATCTCCTTTTTGGTAGCAGGAGTTTCGTGACTTTTTTTTTTTTTTTTTGGAGTCAGGGTTTTATTTGTTGCCAGGCTAGAATGCAGTGGCACAATCACGGCTCACCACAGCCTCAACCTCCTGGGCTCAGACAATCCTTCTGCCTCAGCCTCCAGGTGTGTGTCCCCATGCCTGCCTCATTTTTTGATCTTTTTGTAGAGACGAGGTCTTGCCGCGATGTCCAGGCTGGTCTCGAAGTCCTGGGCTCAAGCGATCCTCCCGCCTCAGCCTCCCCAAGTGCTGGGATTACAGGCGTGAGCCACTGCGCCGGGCCCCGCGTGTGTTTTTAATTCTCTGTTCTGGATTGGTCTACCCTGTCCCTGATTTAGGGACCTCCCAGCCTCGGGACTTAGGGGAACAAATTCCACCTAGCTCCTTCCATCTCCCTCGCATTAAAACGGTGTCATCTTCTCTCCCTGCGCTCGGGTGACTAAGAGGCCACGCTCACAGGAGGAGGCCACAGGACTCTGTTTTGTTACCTTCTCAGCTGCCTCCCTGCTCCTCCCAGGAGAATATTGGTAACGTCTTTTGGCAGACGGGACCCAAAGGATCAGCTCAAAGTTCAGTCTCAAGCCAGGAGACCGAGCCGTGGCAAACAGTTAGAGGGCACTCGTATCCCAACTTTTTTTATTTTTTGAGTTGGAGTCTCACTTTCTTGCCCAGGCTGGAGGGCAGTGGCACACTCACGGCCGCCGCAGCCTCGACCTGCTGGGCTCAGGCGATCCTTCTGTCTCAGTCTTCCATGTAGTTGGAACTGCAGGTGTGTGTCACCACACCTGGTTCACTTTTTAGATTTTTTTGTGGAGACGAGGTCTTGCCAAGTTGCCTAAGCTGGTCTCAAACCTCTGGGCTCAGGGAATCCTCTCACCTTGGCCTCCCAAAGTGCTGGGATTACAAGCATGAACCACTGCCCCGGGCCTCTAATTGATTTTTTTTTTTTTTTAGAGATGAGCTCTCACTCTGTCACCCAGGCTAGAGTGCAGTGGTATGACCATGGTTCACTGCAGTCTCTCCCTCCTGGGCTCAAGTGATGCTCTCTCTTGCCTCAGCCTCCCAAGTGCCTGGGACTACAGGTGCACACCACCACACCCAGCTAATTTTGTCTTTTCTGTAGAGACAGGGTTTCATTACATTGCCTAGGCTGGTCTTGAACTCTTGGGCTCAAGCAATTCTCCCACCTCGGCCTCCCAAAGTGCTGGGACTACAGGCGTGAGCCACCCTGTGAATCCCCAAACCGGCCGGGACTCACACTGTTAAACACCACACTATACGGTCTCCAACGAGGGCACACACAGAGACACTCACACTCACATGTGCACGCACGTATACACACACACGTGCACATGCACTCAGAGGGTGGGTTTGAGTGTCCAGCATCACTGGTCCTCCATTTTCTCAGGTTCCTAGCTAGGTGCTGGTGACCAAGGCAGGGAAGGGACTGGCTTCTGAGCGCTAGGTCCAGGGCCGGTGTGTGCACGATGGCCTTACGGTGTCACCTTGGGGGACGCAATAGGGGGTGAGCGGTGGCGTTTCCACGGCTGTCTTCCTTGTGCCATGTGAGAGAAACCTGTCGCTCTAGCACGCCTTCCTGAAATCAATGCCACTGACCTTGTTCCAGATGAGGACCGGGGTTGGGATTCCGATCACCTCGCAGCTCAAGTACACCTGGGCGCCGGTGACATTCCAGATGTCCCTGGGGGGCGTCACTATGGAGGGACCTGCCAGAGGAGACACAAAGCCAAACACAAGTTTTAAACAGTCTCTGCCCAAGCCAGCTTCCTTGGACGTGAACAGTGATCCTGGTTTTTTGAGTTGGAGTCTCACTCTGTCGCCCAGACTGGAGTGCAGTGGCCGCTCCCGGCCACCGCAGCCTTGACCTGCTGGGCTCCGGTGATCCATCCGCCTCAGCCTTCCAAGTAGCTGAAACTACAGGCAGGTGCCGCTACGCCTGGCTAATTTTTTGATTTAGTGTAGAGACGAGGTCTCGCCAAGTTGCCCAGGCGGGTCTCGAACCTGTGGGCTCAGGCAATCCTCTCACTTTAGCCTCCCAAAGTGCTGGGATTATAGGCGTGAGCCACTGTGCCTGGCCTGAAGCCAGCTTCAAAGACCAGACTGGCTTCTTCCTGCCACCAGCAGGACTTCAGGCTCCACTCTGGGAATGCAGACATGTAAGCAAACAAACAGAAACATCCAGGAAGAAAAATCTGTTGTTTACATTTTCTGTTTCCCCAAACCATGTTCCAATGAATGTTCATGGACCAGCTGTTTTGTATCATCTCTCCTATTACCAGAATGAAATTTTAGTTCCAAAGCGTCCAGTGTTTACCAGTATGTCTATTTTGGGTGACAGAGGCAATAAATCACCCATTTCATTGGGTACAGAAGGGAAAAAAAAAATCCAAGAAAAATTTTTTTTTTTTTTTAGTTCGGGGGGTTCTCACTCTGTTGCCCAGGCTGGAGGGTGGTGGCGTGATCATGGCTCACCACAGCCTTGACCACCTGGGCTCAGGTGATCCCTCTGCCTCAGTCTCCCGAGTAGCTGGGATTACAGGCACGCACCACCACGCCTGGCTAACTTTTGATTTTTTTGGTAGAGACGGGGGTCTCTCTGGGTTGCCCAGGCTGGTCTTGAATTCCTGGGCTCAAACAATCCACCTGCCTCGGCTTCCCAAGTGCTAGGATTATAGGCATGAGCCACCATGCCTGGCTTTTTGAGAATATTTTTAAATGTGCTGAGCACCCAGACCAGATGGAAGTCTCTTGCCTCAAGAGGTCCAGGATCTAGGGTGGACAAGGGTGACAGGGCAGGGAGGAGGAGAGAACAGGGAGTACTGTGTGTCTTTGGGGACCGGAAGGAGGCTCCTTGGAACGGAAGGGGCCAGTGTCCCGAAGGATGGTGCTGTAGTGACCGAAAGTTCAATCCGAGAGACCACCAAGAGCCAATTCCGATGAAAGCTCAAGAGGGTCTTTATTTGCAAGCTCGAGCCTGGACCTCTGTCGACCACCGACGCAGCGGAGTCCACCCAGAGGCCCTGACTTCCTTAAGCAGATGACTTTTATGCTTTTACACAAAGGGAGGAGGAGGTTGGGGGGACTTTCCAGTCTTGTTACCATTTAATTGGGTAGTAACTTCTGGTGGTCAGCTCAATTGTGGAGGCTTGGCTAGCTGGACTTGGGCTGACCTTGGCCCACTAGCTGGGGAAGTTGCAGAGACATTTGGAAACTTTAGGTGATTTTTCCCTGGCACCTGATTGGTTGTTGCTAAGGGGAAAGTGGATCAAGGGAAGGGGTTGAAGCTTGAACTGGAGCTTTGCAGTTTTCCCCATAACTGAAACTTTCAACAGCTACAGGTTATGTTTTAAAGCAGAAAACTAAAATGCTGTGCTATTGTCCACAAGCCGATTACATATTTATTGGGTTATAGCATGCTCTTAACCTAAGTTTATTATATACTCTATTACGGTAGTTATTAGCTTATTTAAAATACATGGACCGAAGGTTAGCAACAGTGCCAGGTCCCTTCTTCCAGAACTGGTTGGCAGAGCCAGCTGGTAGAGAGAAGAGGGAATGGTCCATTGTGTGTCACCAGGGATCCCCACGGGAGGGCTCTTTCCTGGGGTTCTCAGTCTCTGGGTCCCCAGCAGGGACACTAGCAAACGAGGGGCATGTCAAGACACAGCCTTAATAGAGTCGGTGGGCGGGGGCACCTGAGAGAGGCCAGCGTGACATCACCCCACCCCAATTCTGGAAAATACCCCTCACCTCCTGCATCATGGCTCCCTGCCTCAGGGTCAGCACCCATGACGTGCACCCTTTTTGCTACTGAAGCCGTGTGACTCTCTGGCCCTGGGGTTAGCAAACGATGGCCTGTGGACCAAATTCGCCCATCACCTCTTTTTACAAGGCCTGTGAACTAAGAATAGTGTTTGCACGTTAAATGATTAAAAAACAATGAAAAGGACACTATTTCATGTGAAAATGGTAAGAAACTCATGTCTCAGCGTCGACAAAATAAAGTTTTAGCTGGGCGCAGTGGCTCCTGCCTGTAATCCCAGTGCTTTGGGAGGCCGAGGTGAGAGGATTGCCTGAGCCCAGGAGTGTGAGACCAACTTGGGCAACTTGGCGAGACCTCGTCTCTACAATAAATCCAAAAATTAGCCGTGTGTGGTGGTGTGTGCTTGTGGTTCCAGATACTTGGAAGGCTGAGGTGGAAGGATCACCAGAGCCCAGCAGGTCGAGGCTGCGGTAGCTGTGAGTGTGCCACTGCACTCCAGTCTGGGCGAAGGAGTGAGACGCCAACTCAAAATAATAATAATAATAATAAGTTTTGGCAGGGCTCAGTGGCTCAGCCTGTCATCCCAGCACTTTGAGAGACTGAGGCGAGTAGATTGCCTGAGCCTGCGGGTTTGAGACCAGCCCGGGCAACTTGACAAGACCTCGTCTGTATAATAAATAAAAAAAAAATTAGTTGGGTGTGGTGGCATGCACCTGTGGTTCCAGTTACTTGGAAGGCTGAAGTGGAAGGATCCTCTGAACCCAGCAGGCCGAGGCTGCAGTGGTCTTGAGCGTGCCACTGCACTCCAGCCTGGGTGACAGAATGAGACTCCGACTCAAAAAAATTAAAAATAAAAATTTTTTTAAATTTAAAAATATTAAAAAAAATTTTTGTAGAGTCTGGGTCTCACTATGTTGCCCAGGCTGGTCTCAAACTCCTGGGTTCAAGCAGCTCTCCCGCCTCTGCCTCTCAAAGTGCTAGGATGACAGGCATGAACCACTGGACCTGGCCAATCCGGCTTTTTATGGGAGACATCTGCTGATGTGTGCTCTCATCAATTGAGGGAAGTTGATGCCTTGGTAAGATATTTCAGAAAAGCCCCAGGACTTCAACCCTTTACTGATACAGGCAACCCGCTCAACCCCCTGGTGATTTCTGGTTCATCTCTGAAACGCGACACTTTTGAAGCCGATGGATGCTGAAAGTGTGGGTTTGGTGATGCTTTCTGAGGGGCTGGCTCCCTGATGTCCTTGGTAAAAGAGAGATGCGCCCCCTACTTTTTATTTTTATTTATTTACTTATTATTATTTTTTTTTGAGTTGGAGTCTCACTCTGTCGCCCAGACCGGAGTGCAGTGGCCGCTCCCGGCCACCGCAGCCTCGACCTGCTGGGCTCCGGCGACCCTTCCGCCTCAGCCTTCCGAGTAGCCGGAACTACAGGCACGCGCTACCACGTCCGGCTGATTTTTGATTGATTGTAGACACGAGGTCTCACCAAGTTTCCTGGGCTGGTCTCGAACCCGTGGGCACAGGCGATCCACTCGTCTCGGCCTCCCAAAGTGCAGGGTTACAGGCTGAGCCACTGAACCTGGTCCCACCCCCTACTTTTTAGTGAGCAGTGACTAGTATTCTACTTCTGCTCATCCTGCATGCCACTGTTCGGATGTCAGGGGCCTTCAGAGACACTTGGGTCTGGGCACCCCACGTGGGGCAGTGTGCTGTTCCACAACTGGATCTTATCCATGCTCAGCACAGTGTCTTGAGTGAATGAATGATTCCTTCCTTTCTTCCTTCCCTCCCTCCCTCCCTCCTCCCTCCCTCCTTCCCTCCCTCTCCCTCTCTCTCTCTCTCTCTCTCTGTTGCCCAGGCTGGAGTGCAGTGGCCATGCTCACAGCTCTTCCAACTTCTACCTCCTGGGCTCAGGCGATCCTCCCACCTCAGTCTCCTGAATAGCTGGGACTACAGGCAACCACCACCATGTCCGACTGATTTTTTGATTTCTGTGTAGACACGGGGTCTTGCTACGTTGCCCAGACTGGTCTCAAACTCCCGGGCTCAAGCGATTCTCCCGCCTCAGCCTCCCAAAATGCTGAACTTATAGATGTGAGCCACCATGCCCGGCCTCCTTCTGGATTTCAAATCTCTGCTGCCTTGGGTCTTCTAGCCCGGTCAAATAGCCAACTCCTTGCGGGATCATCTTGCATCAGAGTCCTGGGAAAGGGACACTCTCCCCTTGAGGCCTGGAAGGTTTTCTGGCGTGATCAGCATTCAAAGGGCACAGAGTCCCCCCTTTTGCAACAAGCTATTTCCGGCACACGATTCATTTCTTGAAACAGAGAGGAAATGACCCCAGCATGCAAGACTTTCCCACTCGCCAGAAGTAGTAGAAGCTGATTTCAAAAAAAAAAAAAATCCCTTGGGATAATTTTATTTTTTTCCCTTTGCAAGAATGTGCACAACAATCAAAGTCTGGAAAGTTCTAAATCTGTGTCGTGCTTCCTTCCCTCCAAACCAGAGGTCTGAACAGGAAGCATCTACCCTGGCCAGGGTCATGGCTCTTCTGCTGAGCTTGTGGATGTGGTCAGTGTCACGGGGCTGTATTGGTGTTTCTGCCTCTGTCCCAGACGCTTCCTAGTTTGGATGCCCCGATACAGAACTCTACAAAGGGCTGGGCCTCACCCCTTCCCAGGCTTTCCCCGGCCACGCAAGGGCTCGGACACGGCACAGTGGATCTGGCTGGACCTTGAACGGCTTCAGCCCGCCTCTCTGAGGGCCGCTGGGCAGCTGGGTCCTCCTTGCCACACACAGGCTTGGCAGGAGGACTTCAAAGCCCGGAGGATCTCAAGGGATTGTTCTAAGAAGAAAGCACCAGTGTTCAGAGATTTGGAGGGCTCAGGAACAAAGCTGCCTCTCATGTGGCCACACCACACAAGAAATGCACGACTGATCTCAAGGCCTCTGCCCTGCAGAAATTCACTTATCTCCTTTTTTTTTTTTTTTTTGAA